AGAGTGGCCTTTTATTGTGGCCAGCCTAAGGCACACCTGTGCAATAATCATGCTGTCTAATCAGCATCTTGATATGCCACACCTGTGAGGTGGGATGGATTATCTCGGCAAAGGAGAAGTGCTCACTAACACAGATTTAGACAGATTTGTGAACAATATTTGTGAGAAATGGTCTTTTGTGTGTATAGAAAATGTTTTAGATCTTTGAGTTCAGCTCATGAAAAATGGGAGCAAAAATAAAAGTGTTGCATTTATATTTTTGTTCAGTGTATGTATATATGTATATGTATGTATATATGTATGTATATGTATGTATATATATATGTATGTATGTATGTATGTATGTATAATAAGGGCTCACAGATCATTTGTGCTGGTCAGGAGAGTACTCATCAATAAACAGTGAAATTAATAATTGAACCTCTGTGGGAGAAGATGTTGCACTTTATATAAGGAGCACTTGTGTGTTGTTCATGGTTATTGGGGTTGTGGATTTCTAGTGTAGGGTAGAGGATGTTTGTTTTGTATGTGTATTTATCTGACGATTGCCTATGGTGCCCTACGAATGAGTATGAATGAGTATGTATGTATACACACTGCTTCAAGATCATTCCAGCTGTTGACCTCAGCATTTTCCAATCATGTACTACAGGCTTTGTATCATTGAAGAGGAATAAAGAGAATATACAGCTGTTAAGATTTTTATGTAACGCCTTTATCCAATCTGTAATAGAAATACTGTAATAAAATATTTCACACCAAGTAAAAAAAAAAAGTTAAGTGGGTATATTGCACTGTTATTGCATGGTCCACAAAGAAAAAAAATCAGTCTTGTTCTTCAAATCTGGCAAAAACTTTGTAGTTCTTCACCTCGACAACTTGTGTCCAGAAATTGTCACAGTCCGTTTTCTTTTGAAAAATGAAAGTAAACATTTCTGCTGGAGAATCAACATAATGCTCATCTTCCCAACTACGAAGGTCCTGGAGGATTTTAGGTTGCTCCTCTTTGTCCATGGAAAGGGCCGCTGATATTTCAAGCCTTCCATCAAACTTTGTCTTGCGACAGCACTCAGCAGCAGCTATGCAGTCTCTCAAAAAAACAATGCTCTGCAGTAAACAAGAAAACAAGGTCAAAGTATTCATTGTATATTGATATTACCAAGTAATGATTCAAACTTGCTTATAATTTACAGCAAATTAACAAATTGATGATATAATTAGAAATGCTTAATACTTTATTGTCAACAAACTCCCTAACCAGAGATTTATAGATACTCTTTATTAAGTAGGCTACCATTGTTCACAGTATTGAATGTGCTATATTGCCTTACGATAAAAGCAAGATTGTATATTTTATGTGAAAGTGGCTTTCATAAGTTTGGTAATGTTAACTATTTCAGTACTTCCTTCTGTGAACTGTTTTGTCTTGTTTTTAAGACCCCACACTTAACTGTTATTTAAGTTTCATTAAAATAAACTTTAAACCTCATTTGTCTTCTTGGTTTGTATATAATTCCATTGTTATTCCTTTACATGCATGCAATTCATAGAAACAAAAAACCAAAGGGTCATAATTTTTTGTTAAAGTTCCACCACAATGTGTCACCTTTCTGCAAGTCAAGTAGGCTGTGCTGCAAAATAATAAGTTATAGTTGTGTAAAGCATTTCACAGTAAGATGCAATGTTACTTTCAGCAACAAAAAAATGTGTGGAGTGGATGAGATCATATATGCTTAGCTTTGTTTTTATTGTCTCGTGCAACTAAAGCCACTTCAATAATAAAATTGCAGTAGCATTTAATGGGTCTATAGCTGTGAGGGTTTGGGATAG